GGGCGCCCCCCAGGGAAGATGAAGGCGGAGGCGGGTGACCACTCCATGATCAACCTGTCGGTGCAGCAGGTCCTGAGCCTCTGGGCCCACGGGACGGTGCTGAGGAACCTCACGGGTAATTGACGCGCCGGGGTGGGGACCGGGATTCGGTGCCATCCCCAGCCGCCGCCTCCCTCTGGAGTAGAGGAAGTGCTCCCGGCCGCCCCGCCCCCGTGTGCGCCCCCTCGGGAATTTGCGGTCTCGGGTCCTGGCTAGCCAGGTCTAAATTGGGGCCACTCCGCGCGGGTTCCCGGGCCGCAGACGCCGCCCCCCTTTCGCCCCGCAACTCTGAGGTTTCCCAGGCGTGTAGGGGAGGGTGGGAGAATCCACGACCCGGGCCTCCTGCCCAGCAGGGGGAGGGCCCGCGGCCCTGCCTTCTGTAGTACGCGCGGATTAGCATCGGCGCTGAGACTTGAGCACTGTTAGCTTTTATTTACCCCCTCTTTCCCCACTCGCCCACACACTCATACACACACACACCGATTTTTGCTGTTTAGATCTTTTTCTGTTTAGCTCTTTTTCTTTCTGGCAAATCTCAAACTGAATGCAGGACTTAAATTCCTGCTCATGATCAGTTTGCTTCAATTGTTAATTTTTGTTTTTTGGAAATATAGATTACAAGTAGATTATAGAGGGTCAGGGGTTGCGTCAAGGTTTAGTGCATCCTAAGCGTTTTAGTTTTAACCATATAATCTCCTCCCTCTCCTATTTCCTTTTGTCTGTCTCTCTCCCTTTGGCCTCAAGCTGCTGCTTCTGTGACATTTGATAATTTTGTGTGTTTCCTTTCATTCTCAAGGCTGTCGGGAGGGATTTGGGCTTAACTATATTATAATAATTAACATCAATTTCTAGTTGTAAAAACGAGTAATACTCATATTTTTATCGAATTTTTAGGTTTGCTTTGTGAAGAAACTTCTGGCTTTGTTAATGTGGAAATGCTTATATTATCATAGTCTGAGTCCCAAATTTTAAAAATACCCTCTGAAGATTAATGTATACAAAAAAGAGATTCTTTTACAATTTGGTGACTCTTCAGTGCCTGATCCTCAGAGAAAAAACTTAAAAACACACTCCGGATTTGATTCTTGAAAATGTATAAGGCAGCAAATTTTGATAGAACATTAGTATTTCAAAATGCATTATATCAAACTGGCTAAGAGTAGGAAGAGTATACTACAAATATAACCTGTCTTGACAGGATTCATATATGTGTGTGTGTGTGTGTGTGTGTATGTATGTATATATACACATATATACAATGTGTTTTAAAATATGGTATGATATGGCATTCAGATATTCATAGAGACTTTTTTTTTTAATTATATACCACAAGGATGACTTCGAGACACTGGTTTCCTTGAATGTGGAAACTATAAAATTACTATAGATTCTGGATCGATTCATGGTGTCCTCACTTTTAATATGTGGTTATTTAACTTGGAGCAAACTGACCTTACATGAGGGTTTAAAGTCAGGAACATGTTCTTCTGAACAACTACATTGACATAAAGACCATCTTATGATTCAGTTGAATTTAGGGATAGATTGCTTTATCTTACTTAGGGCTTTGCTTCCTATTTGTTCACTGTTAATATTTCAAATGTTAAAAAATTAGCTTTGGGAGACCTAGAGAAAATGTTGATGTAACTTAGCTCTTGGCTAGATTTTACACTATTTTAAAATATTTCCTATAAGATTCTAATCACTATTTAGTGGCTTCCAGTTCCACAAGTCAACCATTAGGTTAGTAATAGTAGTTTCAGCCCAGGGCTAGCTCTCATTATCTCCTAATACAATCTTAATAATTGCCAGTTGCTCATAGGACTTGGCCATTTCATAGAGGATATGCAGAACATCCCAAACTAGGACCCAGGTGGGGCTGGGGAATAAATGGAACCTCTTTTAGGAAATAAGTAGAGTGTGAATATGCAAAATTCTGTTTGGCAGGGTAAAAAATGGAGAAGGAAATAGATCAGAAGTATATTTCCCCAGCAGGTGAGTGTTCCACATGTAAGAACCACATCACTTCCAAAGTCCATAAAAAATGAACTTTGGAAGTGGTTACATTCTGATGTGATTCTTTATGGTCTTCTTCACACTGGTGACATATGTAGCTCGGTCATTGTCAAGGTATGTTACCTGCCATGCCATTTAGAACTTGGCCTATTAAACTCAGCTCCTAAAACAACTAAAACAATTCCTGCCATGTATCGGGTACTTAACATATGTTATTTCTCATCTTCAGAATAACTCTCCAAAATAGATTTACAAAGAAGCTCAGAGAGGTAAATTCAGTTGCCCAAATCCTATGCTAGTCGATGGCTGAGCTAGGCTTTAGAAACCCAATCTGCCTGCAGAACTGCTTTTTCCCCTTCACCAGGATGGCTTGGTTACTTCCTCTTTACCCCCTTCAGACAATGAACTACTCGCTTCATCCTGCTACTTCTCCTTATCTATGCTTTTTAGTTATATTTTTCAATTGCATTATAATTTTTATGTGTCTCTTCTAGACTGTGGGCTTTTTGGGGATGGAATCAATGTCTTAATTACTGAATTCTGGAACCCTAGCATTATAGTTCCTGGCACATAGTAAATGCTTAGTACATATTTATGGAATTTTAAAAATGATACTTAACAGTTGGATGATTTAAACATTCTGTTTGCATTATTTTTCAGCTACATCTTTTGGAGTAAATATGCTGTTAATAGGGAATGAGGTGTTTCTATAATTTTTGTAGAAATTATCATACCTTTAAAACACACAAATACTTATTGAATGCCCTTTTTGTGCTAGTGAACCATACTTCCATGTATTTTATTTAATCTTTTCAACAATCTTGAGAGAGGTCGTTTATCCTTAATTTACACATTTAAGAATTGAAGACTAACTTGCTTACATCTGATAGCTAGTAAGTTAAAAATTACCTTTTTTTCCCCAAATTATGATAACATTAAGTCAGAAGGCATTTTTGTTGTCATAATAAACTTGGAAAGAAGCAGGTAATAGAAAGGAGCATAGTATAGAACCAGACTGATTTGAATTTAAGAAATGACTGTGTCAAGGATTTATGGAAATCTGGTTAATAGGAATTCTGGTTAATTAAGAGTCAATTAAAGGGGGAACACATCTCTATTTTTTTCTTTCTACAAACAGGTGTATTTTTTTCTTTGTATCTTATCTCATAGGTGAAGTGGGAAATTTTTTATATTGACCTTTTTATCTTAGAAACTGACCTTTAGAAAATAGTCTTGAGTATGTATTACTTTGACAGCAATAAATGTTTAAAAAGTGATAATGAGAAGTAGCTTAACATTCTAGAGCTAGAAGTTACGTTGTTCAGCTCCTTCATTTTAGAAATATCAAATGTCCCGTTATGGAAGTGAAATGCATGGCAGGGATCGAGCAATTGCTTAATGATGGAGGCAGGACTGGAACTAACCTCCCCTGACCCTTAAGTCTGTGCCTTTTCCTTTAATTCCACATGGCTTTTTTCAGGCAGGTCTGTTGATTAATCTTAATGTACTTAAGAATAAATAGCCTGGTAAGTATTTGTCCCAGTGAGCCCAAGAATGTGTGACTGGAATTGATCTCTGTCCATCTAATAAAATATATTAGAAAATGCAAGAGTTACTGAATAACAGTGCTTTCTAAAATTTTAAGTTGTTTTTGCCTGTGTAAAAGTTAGTGATCTATATTTATTATGTATCCAGTTTTAGAAATCTAAGAAGTTAGGGGTGCTATTTATTTTTCCCTCTCATGGAAGACACTAGGATGGGAACTCCATATAGAGCAGATTATTATCTGGAGACCCCCATCTCTGTCACTTAATAACCATTGCCAAAGTTCTCTTCTGTATCCATCGCTTCCCAAAGTGTGTAATTCATAAGATTCATAAATTATTAGCTGTGTATTGGTTAGATGTGTCTATGGCTTACTGAAGTAGAGAGAGAAATGGTTTTCTTTTTCAGATAGTTTCTCTCTCTCTGAATTGTTCTAAATACCCTGCTTCCCCCTCCCCCAATCTAAAATTAGAGTCAATACATATATACTTTTTCAGTTTTATGGGTTACTTGACTGTTTTGAAAAAAATAATCTACAGTAAAATGTATTATTTTGCTTTACCTTTATTTTCCCAACTTTGTGTTCTGACCCAAATTTGGTTTAGAGAAGAAGTTTTTACTTAGAAATAGGCAGGATGCCTAAACCCCTGGATAAACACAGATCCAGGCTGGTGTTGGGAAAGGGATAATTGGTCCCTGGGAAAAAAAGGCAAAGGCTAGCTTTAAGCTCATCCGCTCTCACAGTGACAGCAGCAAATGTGGGGGCAGGTGTTTCCCTCTTTCTATTGGTAATAAGCATTGGGAGGCTGGGAATTCAAACTGGCAGGAGGGTCAACCATCTCTGTGTATGTGCATATGTGTGTGTGTCTATATTAAGTGTATATGTACTTGCCCTGGTCGATGTTGCTCAGTGGTTAGCGCATGCACTGAAGGGTTGTGGATTCAGTTCCTGGTCAAGGGCCCTTACTTGAGTTGCAGGTTCAATCCCTGGCTCCCTCGGGGTGAGTACGAGGAGGCAACCAATTGATGTGTCTCTCTCACATTGATGTTTCTCTCTCTCACTCCTTCTCCCTTTCTTCCTCCTACTCTCTCTAAAAATCAATGGAAAAAATGTACTCAGGTGAAGGTTAACAAAAAGATGTATATGTGCTTTTTTATTTTTACGGTATGCATACATATTGTCAGCAAAAAAAAAAGACGAAGGGGAAAAATAGTTGGTATCTCCTCTAGGTATTTGGGATTGTTCATACCTTCCTTTAGCGATGCTCTCAAGCAGGTCTGCTTCTCTTGGTGTTACTTTGCTCCTAGATTCTAGTTTAAGGTCAAGTTAAATTCCTCTTCCTAAGTGCTCTGTTATTGGAAGTGAGTTTATGTAGATGAGTTATTTCAAATTCCCCCTTATAGTATTTATGTTTTACAAATGTAGCCTTAAAGACAGGTACTGCTTTTCAGTACTGTGCTGGACCCTAACATTTACTATTCCTGAAATACATGTGAAAAAATCCTGTATTCTTT